TTGAATAACGTTGGACAAGAAAGTAACAGAGCTTCGTATGAACTCAGTCCAGTCTATACGGAGCTCTGGAAAGTAATAGAAACTTCCGGTTTTTACTAATTGAAAGTCAAAATGTGACTGCATCTTTTCATCATGAAAATCACACACAACATCAGTTTTCAGATTTTTTTGCTAATGATCCTGTTTTTCAAAGATTTTCAAAATGATAATCATGATGAAAAGATGCAGTCTTCTTTTTTTACCGACGAGGTGTCTGTTCGGCCTGTCCAATGTAACGATTCAGTTTTCTGTAAGTCTGTCACGTTTTGTCAAGATTAAAGTTCTGCGAGGAAAGTTCCTATAGAGCTCGGAGACGTTTCATTTTGAAGAGCAAACATTTTCCTTTAAAATGGTAATTGGACGAACTTTAATAGTTAGCATCGCTATCATATACAGACTGTAAACTGAATGTCTTATTGGAAAGGTGTGGTATCTGTTTCAAAACCTTTATCTTGAAATTCATTCGGTTCGCTAAGTTTCACGTTCGCTAAATTATTATATTAAAGAAAAATGTCTGCTCGTCAAAATGAGACGTCTCCGAGCTTTCCTCGCAGAACTATAATCTTTACAAAACGTGACTGGCTTACGGCTTTTGGCTAGTGTGCTTGAACAGGCCGTGTTCTTTATCCTTTTATTATTAGGGATCCATGATATCTATATTGTTATTTGTTTACAGCTAGCTTAGTTGAATACGCGAATGGTATTCGTTGGGAGAAGTTGATCAATGAATCATTACCATTGTTAGAACGGTTTAGTTTATGTATAGCAGATAGCATATTTACAGATGTTATTAATATTGATAGTATAATACAATCATTTTCTACGCCATTTTGGATATTAGAACGAGAATGGTACATTGTTGTCGATTATATACACAAATCTGAATCAAATGAATTCCTACTGTACACTGTACCACGATCAAAAGGTAGTAGTTTGACAATACAACTATATAAAATGCAAACAGCAACAACAGCGCCTTCAACATTAGAGAATATGTATACAAAAACGGATAGATTAACTGTAAAGTTGAATAATGTGCATCTGCCGTTAATTGTACGACAATTTTCAGATGTTAAGACACTGACATTATATAGCGATTTAACATCTGTAGATAATACAACAACACCAATCGTTGATGATTTGTCAAAACTTGTTTTACTTGTAAATTTGGAAGCTTTGCACCTTTATGACAAGTATTATCCATCAAACTTATTGAAAGTTATATTAGTAACAGCTTCCAATATTATTAATTTATCAGCACCTTACAATGTTCTGTTAGAAATAACTGATAGTGAAACCTTCTCGAATTTAACAAGTTTAACGGTTACAATGAATGATGACGATGATCATTTCAATGTAAAAGTATTGAAGCGGTCATCATTTATACTTGATAATTTAAGATATTTTTATATTGAGTTGAAAAAAGTGGATAATCTATACTTGGTATTATCATTAGTATTACGGAAAGTGAAAAAATTGCATGAGTTTGTTGTGTCGGTGGCTAACGGGACGTTCAGTGAATATTTTCAATTGTGGTTAAATGATTATTTAAGTTTGAATGATTTATTATTGATAACCGGTATTGAATATAACCATGCTTGCAATAATTTAGCTCTATCATATTAATCTGTTTGTTTTGAGAATAGAAGCACAAATTTCACCAGTTCTGATAATATAATCTTAAATTAGTAGTTCTGTTTCTAATGTTAATGTTGAATCTAAATTTTATACTGGATTTCGTAGTGCCGGCACCATGAAGATTCTAACAACAACACAGTCAGAATTAATGGCTTTCAAATTGTGCGAAAAATAAAGTGAATTTCCTAAGGTCCAACGAGGAAAGTTCAGGTACTTCTTTAAGAACAAACTACCAAACTACCACTTTGCAAAGTAACTGTCCTTTTTTCAAATTCCTGCGTTTGTGTCTGCTAGAAACCTAATTACTCCGCCAACACATCGACGGTCGTCTAGAATAACGCATGACAAACAAATTCAAAAACCTTACTATTCCTTAAAGTCTGCTTTGGGGTCATTTTTTCCTCGTACCACTGACGACTGGAATGTGCTACCATGTACCGTTGTGAATCAAACCAGTCACAGAATCTATAAGAGTCTGTTGAAACAGCATCTTCAACTTTTATAACTTATCCGTCTTTTCTTGTGCCCTATCAACAAAATGTCTTCAAATGTATCATCCCTCTTCGCTGTCGTATATGAGTCCGTCGTATAAGTTTATGTTTCAAATGCAAAGATAAAAATTCAGTTCAATTAGAGCTTACCTGTTCAAACCATCAAAATGCATTCAATAGAGTTTTTCCAAGCATATTTGAAATTTAGAATCGATCTTGATTATACTAAAAGATGCCTTGCTAATTAATTCTTTTATCGCCCATTTTTTATTATTCCAAAAATCTTTCTTATTAAAGATAATTAATTTTTTTTGGTCAACAGGCTGTTTTTTATTATAAAAGAGCAACAATGACACTATCAGTCAACTTATAACTTCTTATTAATTCAAGCCTCAGGCAAGATTGAAATAAAGGGAGTAAAAAATGAAATAGCATGATCCTCTAGTTTGTACTGAGTTTTGAAGGTTTTAGAGAGATTCTGTAGTGTGTTCAAAAGCTTCATGTTCCGCTGTAATTTTTGAATCCCCATGTATCTATAAGCACATGTGTGTATATTTTTGAGACAGGACAAAGGAAAAAGTTAAATTTGTCATCCGCTGAGAATGAAACTCATGTATCTATATACAGCTTCACATACATGTGTTAATGATTTTAATCGAAATATTATTTTATCGGCAATATAACTAACAAATTTTCCAGAAATGACCTAGAAAAAAGATATCTTGTATATTCAAAATTATAGAAAAGAATTTAAGTAAAATCATTTTACAAACAGCGAGCTTTGGACACTATCACAGTATCATCATCAGGCGAGAAGAGAGACAACTTCTTCTCTCTCAAGAGAGTTGTCTCTTTTCTCTCTCAAAGAGTCATTCGCCTGATGATGATACTGTGATAGTGTCGAAAGCTCGCTGTTTGTAAAATGATTTTACTTAAATTCTTTTCTATAATTTTGAATATACTATGTTTCATAAAAAACGTAAAAGGATCAAAAAGCATCAATATATCTTGTATATTCATCTTCTATGTGACAAGATCGAGAGGATCTTCTATTCAGAGAAGCCATCTTCTGTGTCGAATCCGTTTATTTCTAGTTGCTTTCTGCCTTATTCTTCCTTATTGTATTCTTTCGTCGCACTTTTCTTTCAATACATTGAAAATACAAGCAGATGATGAAGCGTTGGCAAGTGAACTATTATTTATTATTATGCCTTCAGCATTTGTTTATAGAAATCGAAAGACAGGAAGAAGAAAGATTAATGTTTGTTCGCTACAATATGCATTCAGAGTAGTTAAGGAAAAGGATCTGAGAATATTTATGCATTGCTGATCATGTTCTTTAGTTCGTATAGCGCCTCAAACTGAGTATTGTCCAAAAGAGCAGCGAAATGTTGATGTTTGTTTTACAGATACCCACTGTAACTCGAGTGATTTGTATTCAACGAGAATGGTTTGTTCCAATTGTTAGAATGATCGGTATTTACAGTAGTTTTCATTCTTGTCGCTTTCAATCTCTATTATTCGAGCCATAGTTTGAGTAGGTCACAGAATGTGCAGATATGCTTTCCTTGTTCTTCTGTTTTAGGGAAGCCATTAAAAATAACTGAACGCGTGGAACGTGGACGTGGACTACATTCCACGCATAGAGAAGTTTGTTCTTTTCTGTCGATGTGTAGACATCTTTCTTTCTTCTTTTTCTCGCTTAAAAAAAGCTGATATGCACAGAATGGAACAAAATTTCGCTCTCTATTACCAGTTGCACAATCTAACTCATATAACGAAAGAACGAATTTTATTTTTTATTCAAATGTTCATCTACTCTTCTACCCAAGGAAAATGTTACTCATTATGACTTTAATGGGAAATGCCTCAACTTAACCAGTTAAATGGGAATTAAATAGAGAGTATCCACTTCTACTTTTTATCGTAACTGACTTTTTCGTGTAAAGTTGTTCTTGCATATATTTCAACATAGTTCAGCTTTATATTGTATCTGTGTAATTAATAATCGAAAAGAAAATTCTTCTATTGTGTACATATATCCTTCCGGAAAAATAGAGAAAGAGAGCAATATTCATCTACGCGTGCAAAAATATATACGTAGAATATAGTCCACGTCCATGTTCCACGCGTTCAATTATTTTCAACAAGTATTAAATATTCATTGTTTTATTCTACTCTCTTTGCTCTTTTGTAATGTCATACAGTATGTTCACATGACAGCGTTAATCACGGTTAGATCGAAAACAAAACTTGGTCATCCATCTCCTTTGACTACCATGGCCCGAAGAGAAAGCCGAAAAGCCACGGTAGTGGAAAGAATTTCACTTAAAAATGATCTAACTAATCAATGAAAAGCAATTTCTATGTTTTGATGAAGCCAAGGAGTGACATTGGTGGCCGTGTAACTGAAAAGCCAGACTGTACCTATTTTTAAAAAATAGCTCGGCACGATGTCGAATATTTCTTCTTTCAGTTACGATAAAAAGTAGAAGTGAATACTCTCTATTTAATTCCCATTTAACTGGTTAAGTTGAGGCATTTCCCATTAAAGTCATAATGAGTAACATTTTCCTTGGGTAGAAGAGTAGATGAACATTTGAATAAAAAATAAAATTCGTTCTTTCGTTATATGAGTTAGATTGTGCAACTGGTAATAGAGAGCGAAATTTTGTTCCATTCTGTGCATATCAGCTTTTTTTAAGCGAGAAAAAGAAGAAAGAAAGATGTCTACACATCGACAGAAAAGAACAAACTTCTCTATGCGTGGAATGTAGTCCACGTCCACGTTCCACGCGTTCAGTTATTTTTGATGGCTTCCCTCAGCGACAATCTGGTGAAGGAACTGTACCTGTAACAAGAGAGATTCTCTTATTGGTGGTAACAACACACGAGCTTTCGAGTTCCACGACGTTCGCTTTCGTCGTGTGGACTTATCCAGTCCATGTATCACTATTTAGAGCCGCCACTGCGATTCATCTCTGATCACGCCTGCGCATGTAGATGAAGGAAACATACAATTCTTTTCATCGAACGCTTTATTTAGAAAAGTCGAGACACAAACAAGCGATTGTCTACAATCAACTCACCGCTCTGATTGAGAACCGTTGAACTCAATCATTCTCCAAATCAACGACATAGAGATTGCCATGACAATCGAATGACAAACCCATAGAACTATTCAAGTGGTTTGCTTGTGCTCCGCGATCATTTCCACCACAATAACATTTCCATATGTCACTCCTTTGCACCAAAGCACTACTCGATAATTCCCATAATCTGACACGTAAACTGTGCCCGACGAATCGACGAACGCTACTTGAGGATGACACAATTGTGTCAGATCATTCCCTTCGCCGCGACCACCAGCCACGACAATCCCTTCTGTTTAATCCACTTCATCACACGATTATTTTGGTTGTCCGACACCTACACAGAATGATCCCGATCGACAAAAACATGAGCAGGGCAATTGAGTTGATTGAGACGATCTCCTTGCCCATTGCCACCTGCCACCACCGTTTCCTGTGTCTCTCCCTTTCGATATCGTCGCACTTCATGCTTTTCGCTGTCAGAGACGTAGAGAAATCCTGGATCGTCCAGCGTCAATCCTTCACAAGCGATATTCACGATGATCATTTCTCCACTTTTTGTACTACTTTGACGAGACCATCGCATCACTTGTCGGTTCCCGTAATCACAGATGACGAGACTGCCTGTCTCTTTGTCGACAATCACACCTGCTGGTTCATTCAACTGATCGGTTCGATTTCCCCGGCCATTTCCACCGACCATCACTTGAGCACTCGTTGCACCATACTTCCATTCCACAATACGATGATTCCCGAGGTCAGCAGTAAAAACAGTTCGATCATCATCTAGATACAGATCATAAGGGCGGTAGAGGTGGTTCAAGACATTACCATGTCCGTGGCCTCCATCGATGGTAATTCAGTTCTGTTTCCACTTGACATTGGAAGGAATATTTGGAATAGCTGCAACGAAAAAGACAAGAAAAGCGTTGATTAGTCAAAGATCTCGTCGAATGAAAATGATCTTCGTCGCCACTGTCAACAAATGATACATGTCTGGTAATGAATCCAGTGGGTAATAATTAGAAATACGGAGAAACCGATGAGAGAAACAGAGGTTTTCCATACAGACAAGCAAGACGTCAGAAGATTGTTAAAACGTGATCATCGACTATTGACACATACAAGGTGACTGACTGACTTAGTTTAACGCTCGATCGGTGCTGATGGGGCGATGTGATGGTGTACACTTTTTATGTGTTTTTTCGCCTTTTCTTTGTATTTGGCGCATTTTGAACGAGAGTCACTTATATCCATTACACCTGATGCGAAGACTATCCTACGAAGTAATAGACAATCAGCCGCTTATTAGTTCCTGTGAGTTAAAAACAAAAAATACTTAATTTTTTCTTAATATTCAAACAAATTTAGTTAATAAATATGTCAGCGATAACCGACTATATTTCGATCTTCATTCAATTAAATGATTCCACTTCCGAGAATATAGCTGTAGGAGAACCGTGTGAAGGATGCATTCTACGTTCTAAAGCAGATGAAGACTGATGAGCTAATCAGGTGTGTGACATTACTAGCTATTTGTTTCTATCTGTGCCAGGTGCGAGCCGATGAGCATATCAACTATCGGGATACTAGATTCCTGACAATGAAGGAGTGAAAATGCTAATACAATTTCGTATCCTGAACAAAATTGTATACAACCTGGAAGTTTCCATTAAATTGGTTCATTCTAATAAGTTTTCCTTAAGCACCAATATGTTCGAGAAAGATACTCGGTCGGCTTTAGTAGAGAAGTTCAAAGTCAATATCCAGATTTTTTTAAATAATCACCTTCGGTTCTTTTTCAAACACAAAAAATGATCCAATGGTATTGATTCGTTAACAGACAGTAGAAAAGTTGTTCGCACTGAATTAACCGAACGTCTTTTGGTGATTCTTTCCCTTGATTTCTCTTTGATCAGACATTTAGTCGTTAGAGAGAAAAAATATTGTTTGTGCTTAGTTCTTTACATTTTCTTGTGAATTTCACATACTTTCAAAGAACTTCATCAGAAAACATTAAATGCGAATTTGGTCGATGGACTCATAAGGAGCTGTCTTTTGTGCCTGATCACAAATCACAATACACCATCATGAATTTGTTATTTCAATGGCAAGTGTATTTATTACTCACCAGATACACTCTTGCTTGATGATATTGGCATCACATTCATTGTTAGCCATAAATTTTACTCAAGTTTCGATATAAATGACGAAATATGATTTTGTTATTCCACACACTAATCCTGCTCGAGTATTTGCATCGTCTAAAACTAACAGAAAATGGCCGACTGGAGCGCTTCTTATAGAGAAAGAGAGAAAGAAAAGGAGAACGTTTCTCTCGTTCTTTCTTTCCTGTGAAGGATAAATATACTGTTTTGAAAGGTGATTGAAGGCGCCTACATGACAATCGAGTGATTTTTTCTTGATCTGTTTATCAAAGATAGAGAAAAGTGAAAAGAACTACATCGCTCTACTTGAACAATATTTGATAGATGGCCCTTTTCTGATGAAACAAGGTGCCTCAATGCGTCAATTCATGAACTGTTGTTGAGTTCATCTTCTGAGGGAATCTCTCGAGGTGTTCAGTCGCTTTTTAGTCGAGACTATTTTGGTTAGGTAGGTGTCAGTGAGTAATGAAAAAGCCTAAGATGATAAGGGCCCACAGGCCTTCCTTCCGGAGTTATCACCGTTTTAATGTGATTTTGACCTACGGCGAGGTATTTACCGAAGTTTCAGCAAAACGGATGTTTCTTGAGCATGTTTTGAAAATTCAATATTTCGAGAAAGAAACATCTGTTTTGCTGAAACTTTTTGACAGTTTGACAAAACTTTGAACAGTTTTTATCTCTCTCTTTCACTCTTCTTTTGTCTAACTTGCACGATATATATTGACATATGTTATTTAATCGACACGTTGGTTTTTTAGTGTTTGCACTTCTTTTTGACAGTGTGTTGCTCATTCTATAAGTTTATATAATAAAGTTATCAAAATAATCTGGAATTGGTGTCTCGAGTCAAAGCTCTCTACAGCCTCTGATCAGCTACATTTCACACTGTATAAGTGTCTTTTATAGATCTAAATATAGATTAGATGGATTTTTTGATTAATCTTCATGTTCTGAAACATTCGTTTTGATAGGCACTCATTCTTCCTTCCTCATTTTTACTTTACTAAATAAATTCTAAAATTCCGAATTCACCACCAATAAGTCTTCGTCGGTAGCAGCTGTTTTTATGTACTACTAGGCATGTACCGGTTTCGGTTAACCGACACCGGTCATAATCGGAACCGAAAATGTTGCACACGTTTTTGAAAATACGTTTGACACAATATGAAGGAAGCATCTGTTGTTCATTCAACAACTGTTCATCCCGGAAGTAATCCAGACCAAATAAATGGTATTTTTTACTTTTCACGGTGAAGGAGGAGTTTCCCAAAATTGAGTTTAGCAACAAAAGTATGGCAAATTTAATTTTCTAGATTTTATCTTCTGGGCGAACCTTTATACGAATCGATCTTCACGATGAAAAGCAATAAATATCGGTTTTCGTCGTGAAGATGGATTTGTATAAAGGTTCGCCCAGAAGATAAAATCTAGAAAATTAAATTTGCCATACTTTTGTTGCTAAACTCAATTTTGGAAAACTCTTCCTTCACGGTGAAAAAGAAATCTTTTCGAAAAATTCCGAAATTTGTGGTCAAAAAATCGCTAATTAGAATCAAAGATCTAAGTTTTTTATTTCAGCAAAAGAGAAATTCAAAAATCGGGCTCTATTAGGATCCGGTCCTAACAGTCTTCTATGTAACAAAAAAAAATTATCACTTCCCTATCGAGTCATTATGACGAAAAACTTTCCCGCGTAAACTGTATGGCCAAAAAAATTGATTTTGAGAAAAACGAAAAACAATGTTTTTGACTAAATATTCGAAATACGTTTGCTTATATCGCCTGAAATTTTCGCACTATTCGTCAAGCTTTACTATATGTCATAAAAATTTCAGCTCTATCGATCAAACAAAAGTATGAAAAATATCATTAACACTGTATTCTCAGTTATTATGAAACACCCTTTATGCCTCTGTAGCACATCCTCAGAAAAAATATTCGTCAGAAAAAAAGACCAATGTACACGTTTTGGCAAAATAAATTATGCCAGGTTCTAGTTCATTAGAAGGGCTTTCAGAATATGTATAAATCTCAAAATCGAGTTTTTTCGAAACATTGACGTTTCTGAGGGGGGTCTGCCCACAAGGTATTGCACAAAACAGTAATTTTCTTATGATCCTTACGCGGTTCAGTTCATAAGATAGTGACATTACACACCTCTGAGTAGTATCAAGAGATCTGCCTTAGAGCTTAGCGTCCCGTCGTAGCACAGAAGCATGTCGGTATCCAATACAATTTCAGAATAAACTCTTTACACACATCTCCAGGTATATGAATGATCGAGCAGTATCCCTTGTCGTAGACTCTGCCATATGCACGTCGAACCTCCAGCCCCGGGGAAAAGAGCCATTAGGCACGAAGAAACATTGAATCAATTGCTCTAAATTACATCTCGGGCTGTCAATAGCTTTACCGCCCTCTCTAAGCCTGGTGATCTCAGTAGCACTGCCTGATACATCCCGCCCTATTCAAATAACCTACCAAGCCCTGTAAACCAGAACTGATATTTCGTAACTCACTCTCATGCTCCTCACGTGAATCTGCACAAACTGTAAATATCTAACTATCTAACAGACCTATAAAATGTGAACCTTCACAAACTGTAAATATCTAACTGCCTGGGAGGCCTATAAATGTGCATTAGCGCAAAATCGACTTTTTATACGGAGAACAGAATCGGTTGAATTTTTTTTTCTGAAGAGCTTATTATATGAATCGGCGGTCAGCAAAGTATCCCTTGATTCAAATCACTTTTCGCGTTTTGGCGCGCATAGTAGCGCGTTTTAAGTGGCGCCACTATTGGCTGTAATTATGTGAATTTCTAAGTGCAAGCAAATGCAGCTTTTGTTTTCAGAAATGCCAATACCAGTTTTCGAGATGCAAATTCATCTCGTTTTGGATTTTAGAATGCAAAGTCAGTTATTTTTGCATCTCAGGATGGAAAATCACTGTTTTTAACATTTCAGAATGCAAAACCAGTCTTTTTTTGCAGTTCACGATGCAAAATGCCAAAAAAAGCCGAAATTTCATGTTGCATTTTTCTAAAAGGAAAATACGATATGTGCATCTTAGTCATTATGTGAAATGTGACAAAAAAAATCTTTAATTTACGCGGCTTTATACGGTATTACTTTGGCATGAAATATGGTACATGGAGGGTCCCAACAGGCATAACTTAGTACTTAAAGTTGGCGTCTCAATTCAACCATGAAAAGCAGTTTGTTTATCCTGTACAACTCGTCGCTTTTCATCATATACCTGATCTGCATTAATCGATATGCGCTTCTATGTGGTCGTTGAGGTATGGCATCAATGCTGTTTAGTGGGTATATTTATATAATAGTATATGAGAATACATTTATTTTCGCCAGGAAAAAAAGATCTAGTTGACATCCTGCGCATCAAATGAAAGCTCTTTGCATATACTGTCTGATGATGTTGTTTTGTAAATGTAGAAGTATGATGTTCTCTGGATCAAGATATGAAGCAAGCAAAATACAAGAACTCTCCCGTTAGTGGGCAGTATATATCACTT